GAGTGTGGTACATGGGGGTGCTCTAAGGTCACCCCACTTGGGATCTGAGCTCTTGATCTCTCCTTCTTGGTGCACAACTTTTATCTTATTGATCCTCTCTCCCTTCCTTGCCTGGCCTGCTCCTGGCTCCAGGGAGCTCCGTCTGCACTGTAGTTCTGCTCTTTGGGTGCTTGCTCCTCCTCCTGGTATTGTGACATCTGATACAAAGCAGCCACACAGGGCACAGAAAGAGGTTTGGCTTTAGTTTAGCTGGTGAAAAACACCCATGGGAACCCTGCCAGGCTCCTAGGCTGGACTACACGCAGCAGGAGGCGGGACTGCCTAATGGCTTACAGCCCCAGCAGTGAGCAGGAGTCAGCTGCAGCTTGTGGAGTTGGGCTGGAGACCCACTGATGTGGGGGAGCTGGGGGCCTGCAGAGACAGACAGACAATGAAGCTGGCCTCTGGGGTCTGGATATCAGTCTGTTATAGGCACATTGGAAGGCTTGGTAGCATTCTGTCTTGGGGGCATTATTCTACAGCCCATCACTACTGTATCTGAGAAAGAGCCTGCCATGTCAAATCAATAGCAAGAGTGGAGTCTCCAGCAGACCCCCATGGCATCTCTGTCTCTGCTCCCTGTCCAGCCATGCGCTGGGGCACTGGGTATAGCTAGAGTTGCCAGGTGTCTGGTTTTCGACCGGAACACCTGGTCAAAAAGATACCCTGGCGAAAAGGGACCCATTAAAAGTCTGGTTGGTGGTGCAGCGGGGGCCTGGGACTAAGGCAGGCTCCCTGCCTGCCCTAGCTCCCCGTGGCTCCTGGAAGCAGCCACCAGGTACCTGCAGCCCCTAGACGCATGGGCAGCCAGGAAGGCTCCACGCACTGCCCCCACTCCAAGGGCTGGCTCCGCAGCTCCCATTGGCCGGGAACCACGACCAATGGGAGCTGGGGGGCGGCACCTGCAAGCACAAGGGCAGCGTGCTGAGCTTACCTGTCCGCCCATTTGCCTAAGGGCTGCAGGGACCTGGCGGCCCACTTCTTGGGGGCCATCGTGGTAAGTGCTGCTGGGACCCTGCACACCAAACCCCGTCCTGCACCCCAACCCCCTGCCCCAGCCCAGAGTTCCCTCCCACACCCGAACTCCCTCCTGGAGCCCTCACCTCCCCCCAGCACCGCAACCTCCTGCCCCAGCCTGAAGCCCCTTCCTTCACCCCAAAACCCTCATCCCCAGCCCCACCCCAGAGCCTGGACCCCAGCCGGAGCCCTCACTAGTGGCAAACGCAGCTCCCCAGTGTCCTGTCTTCACCCTCAGCAACCAGCGAGATGTCAGATGGACAATGATGCCGACGGGCACCACAGCACAAAATGCTCTTGCTCCCACCTGAGCCACCACCTTACAGTGTTGCGTTCTGGGCTTTTTCACCTCCTACCTTCTGCCCATGGCTTCCTCTGCAACTTGGTCAGCTAACCTGCTTGCCTCCTATCTCATCTTCCCCTCTTACCTGCTGCTGCTCGTAGGCAGGTCAGGGTAGCTTGCTAACTGGACAGCTGAAGACATCGCCTCCCCTCCCCTGGGATGGGATGCTCTTCCCCAACAGCTCTGCCAGCCGCAGGACTGGAAGCTGAATGCAGAGCTCACCTAGACTAAGCCAATCCGTGCCCAATGAGCCACATCTCCCTCTAACGCTGGGCTCCAGACTGGCCAGCGTCTAATGCAAGTCAGCACCAGCCCATTGAGCAAAGGTGCAGTGCAGACCAAGTTGCCCAGGTCTCCAGCCACATGACCTGTTCTCCCCAGCCCGTCACCAACCTGATCTTGGTCATGGGCTAAAGTCCATAATTCACTTACATTTTGCTGTATTTGAACATTAGACTCTGATGCCCTTTGCCCCTACACTACGCTGTCCCAGCAATGGCCCACAGGTCAGCTGAGTTCCAGCCTACACCAGCAGGGAAGACATATGGACTGGCTCTCCTCTTACAGTGTAATACACTGTATTTCTATACTGTAAGGTATTGCAATCCAAACGATCCCAACACAAACACTTTGCAGAACTCATTACTCACCACTGAAATACAGCCACTGCTGGGGTGGGAGGGAGCAGCTGGTTTACAGCACATAGCAATGCCACATGACTAACCACTTTTGAAAGGAAGTGAAAGTGCATCAATTCCGGGGCCAGTGTGATCATCCAGTCTGATCTCCTGTATGGCACGGACCAGAGAAATTCCTCAAAACAATTCCTAGAGCAGAGCTTTAGAAAAACACCCAATCTTGATTTAAACATTTTCAGTGACGGAGAATCCACCATGACCCTTGCTAAGTTGTTCTAATGGTTAGTTACTCTCACTGGTAAAGATTTTCACCTTATTTCCAGTCTGAATTTGTCTAGCTTCACCTTCCAGCCATAGGCTCATGTTTTACCTTCCTCTGCTAGACTGACAGCCCAGGATTAAACATTTGTTCTCTATAGAGCAGTGGTCCCCAAACTTTTGAGGGTTCCACCCCCCCTTATTACTGTCCATGCCCCCCCACCCCCAACCTGCTGGGGCCAGGAACAGCGCCCCAGCTCCGGGGGGGGGGATGCAGACTGGAGTAAGGGGCAGAGGCTGGGGCCACAGGTGGGGGTAGGTCTGTGGCTGGAAGCGGGCCACAGCCAGGGGCCAAGACTGAGGGCAGGGGTAGTAGCAGAGCCGCAGCTGGGCTGCCATGTGGGGCAACAGCCGGGCCTGCAGCCTGGGGTAGCTCCGCTCCCAGCCTCAGCCCCAGGCTGGTAACAGAGCTGCGGCCGAGGCTGGGAGCAGGGATGGGGACGCAGCTGGGGGTGGGACTGGAGCAAAGCTGGGGGTGGGGAGGGACTGGGTGGCACTCCCTGCCCCCCATGGGGGCTGGTCCGGCTCTGCTGCGCACCCTTGGATGTTCGTCCATGCCCCCCTAGGGGATGCGCCCACAGTTTGGGGACCTTGGCTATAGGGACAGAGGGAATTTTGCACGGCATAATCTAATTAGTGTGTCCTGGTCTAAATGCCCAGGCTGATCTCTATAATACTTTTGATGGCCACAGGGGACTACAGATCATCAGTGTCACGTCTCGTCCAAAAGACAGCAAGCAGCACAGCTGGCCCCTAGCACCGTGTCCAGTAAAGAGCAGCATCTGCTGAATCACCAGAACCATTTCTAGTAGCCCCTGAGTTCTCCTTGGAGGTTTTCTATCCAATACTGACCAAACCTGAACCTGTTTAACTTGTGATAGCAGAGCAGATCACACTGAAAGCCAGTAGGAAGCCCTTGTAGGGTTGTTCCTTTGGGATCTGCTCAGCTACTTTGGCTCCAGTCCAGTACAATGACTGTCCAGGCCAGACAAGGCCAAACCTATGTCTGATAGAAGTCTTCCAGTGAAATGGGATCGACTCCTTTGGAATCAGTATGATGTTGTGCATAGTCCATGGAGAAATCCAGCAAACTTTTCCTTCCTGATGGCCCTGGGCCTTGAACTGATTGGGTCACAGTGGAAACCAACTGTAACCCCTTGATATGTACCAGTTCCTCTACCACGGCCAAAGGGTCTAGAGATTCTGCTTCCATGAATGCACCAAGGGGTTGAGCATGTGGAGAAATCACTTTTTGATGTTCTTTTCTTGCTTGTACCAATTTTTAAAAAAGACTTCAAAAGCCTCTGGCTCTGCATAAGGGCCAGGCATCTGTCAGAGATTTTATAAAGCAAGTCTTAGTTTGCTACAGCTAGGGATGGCCAAAAAAAGCACCTTGGACCAGGAAAAAAAAATAATTCCCAGTACAATTTTCCTTGCTCTCATCAAACTCAAAATAAAACTGGACCAATTGGGAACAAAACATAGAAAGGCCTCCACTCAAAGGCCCAGGTTTCACATGAAACCACAGATAATCACAAGCCAAACATGCTCAGTGAGATCAACCTCCTCCCCATGCATGCACAGATCTAACACCCCTCAGGAACAAGTGTCCCTACTTAGGAGAGTCAGGACTCTGCATTGGCAGAGCTGCAGGAGGGCCCAGGGGATGCTTCAGTTCAGGATGGATGTACTTTGGCACTAGAGTAGCACTGGATTAAAATAGCAGGCCCTTTGCAAGCTACAACCAAGGTACCCTTGCTGAACTGTTGAAGAAGCAACACTGGAATAGCTGAAACTCGTCAAGGACTGTGTAACTGTGGGTCACAGCTAAGGTACATGAGGCAGTATAGTCTAGGGGTAGAGCAGTGCACTGGGACTCAGGAGACCTGGGTTCTAGTCCCAGCTCTACCCCTGGCCTACTGGGTGACCCTGGGCAAATCACTGCCCTGCTCTATACCTCCATTTCTCCATCTGTCAAATGGGATGAGTGAATGATACTTACTCCATTTGTAAAGCACTTTGAGAGCCACTGATGACAAGAGCTAGGTGTAATTGTTGTTATCACAGTGGGTTGCAGGGCAGGACCAAGATGCACTGGGTCCTGTCTCTGACTGGCTATTGGCATCAGGCCCCTCCCTTTCAGGAACACTAAACACTCCTCACATTCCAGAGAGGAAAACCCTAGAAAGCTACTATGCTAAGTCTCCTGGTGGAAGAGGGGCCGAAATCCTGACCCCACTGTAGTCAGTGGGGGCTTTGCCATTGTCCTCAGTGGGGCCATGGTTGTAAGATTGGCTGGGAAGAACAATCTTATAATCACTAGGGCCAGGAACACAGTGCTGTGGGATGACGGGAGACAGCAGTACTGTGAGATTAAAGGGTTACACCAGGCTTTAACAAAGCCACTGTAAACCAGCACTGCCCATCCTCATTCTGGGCAGGTGTTGATGCAGAGTTTCAAAAAGACACTTTCATTCTCTGTAATTGAAAAGTCTGAGTTCCTGGAAACGGGGTGACCCGTCTGTTATGGAGGAAGAAGATTAATGAGCCTTGGCCTCCGGCTGGCAGGAGCACAGCCAATTAAAATAACCTCTGGGGCAGCTGCTTTGCTGGAATTGCAACAGGCTGGCCTTCATTTTGCTTACCTGGATTAACCTGAGCTTTGGCAGCACTTGGGATGTGGAGCAGCAGCAGTAGGAGGGGCATCCTGGGAGTGGAGATCATCACGGCAGGTTACTTCAGCCCCAGAGCAGCAGCTAAATGGGGAGATAAAAGAAGCAGTAGAAGACATTAGCAGGACAGCGGGAGTATGAAATTGTCACTGCTGTGAAGGAGCAGTACTGTGCAGTTCAATGTACATGGAGCAGAGATGCATGGGAGAGGCCCAGATGCAGTCTGAACATCTCCAAGACTTAGAGGATACTGATCCAGGGTTCTGGCCCTTGTCCGGTACAGTGGAGCACTCATCCTCCATTTCTCCCCCGCTGCCAGCCCTGTCTCCTTGCTCACGTCTCCTGCCAACTACCAGTTGCTCCCTTGATTTCTGCTTCCAATCAGGGCTGCCTACCCCTGGGTTCCTCCCATAAGGCAGCAGGAGATAAATCAACATTTTCCTATCTATACATGGAGTTTCTAGAGTCCGCCCCTCAGCTTCATCCCCGGTCTGAGCCAGGGAGCAGCTCCTATGCATGTGATTGGTCCATCTGTTTCCATCAGTCATAAAGCATGTCCTTTCCCACATTGGCTGTTGCAGAAGCTACGAGTTCTGCCATAGAAAACCTGTGTGATGCTGGCAGACCAGGTGTCAGCTCATACCAAGGCCCCCAGGCCTCACTGAACACTGACAAATTCATAGCTGGAAACCAGTCTGGCTCACTGTGTGTTAGCATGGTTAAAAAAGATGTTAAGTTGATAAGAATGTGTTTAGACCTTATGAAATGCTTGTAGGATGCTGCATGTATTGATCTCACTTACAACATCTGTAGCTCATGGTATACAATGCTATTGAGTGTTTGCATGTAAACCACTATAATTGTGTAATTCACCAAACAGAAAAGAAGCATTAATTAGTGTGTTCAGGGCCTGCACTTCACAAGACGGCCCACTGAAACCAAATGAGCCACTCGGAAACATCAAAGGACAAAGACACACACCCATGGAGAAGAGACAGACATGGACACTTGTTCCATCAGTTTGAACTCTGAGGGAATGGAATAAAATTCCCTGACCTGGAGGCACTGTATTGGTGTGCTGCCTGGAATTTGGAGGGGCAATATTTCTAAGCATAAGCAAGGGATGCCCAAGCTGCTTAGCTTAGGTTAGCCCTAAAGGACATACAGACCCTGCACATCACAGCAGCTTCCATTACCTTTTGCAATCTAAAACTGTAACTCATTTCTCTGTGTGTGTGTGTGTTTACCTGCTTTAAACTTGTAAATAACTCTAATTTCTTTTTCCTAGTTAATAAATCTTTAGATCATTTATTACAGGATTGGCAACAAGCATTGTCTTTGGTAAGAGATCTAAGGTGCAATCGACTTGGGGTAAGTGACGAGTTCTTTGAGACTGGGAGTAACCTGAATAAGGATAAGTTCAGGGTCCTGCACTTAGGACGGAAGAACCCAATGCACAGCTACAGACTAGGGACCGAATGGCTAGGCAGCAGTTCTGCGGAAAAGGACCTAGGGGTGACAGTGGACGAGAAGCTGGATATGAGTCAGCAGTGTGCCCTTGTTGCCAAGAAGGCCAATGGCATTTTGGGATGTATAAGTAGGGGCATAGCGAGCAGATCGAGGGACGTGATCGTTCCCCTCTATTCGACATTGGTGAGGCCTCATCTGGAGTACTGTGTCCAGTTTTGGGCCCCACACTTCAAGAAGGATGTGGATAAATTGGAGAGAGTCCAGCGGCGGGCAACAAAAATGATTAGGGGACTGGAACACATGAGTTATGAGGAGAGGCTGAGGGAGCTGGGATTGTTTAGCCTGCAGAAGAGAAGAATGAGGGGGGATTTGATAGCTGCTTTCAACTACCTGAAAGGGGGTTCCAAAGAGGATGGCTCTAGACTGTTCTCAATGGTAGCAGATGACAGAACAAGGAGTAATGGTCTCAAGTTGCAGTGGGGGAGGTTTAGATTGGATATTAGGAAAAACTTTTTCACTAAGAGGGTGGTGAAACACTGGAATGCGTTACCTAGGGAGGTGGTAGAATCTCCTTCCTTAGAGGTTTTTAAGGTCAGGCTTGACAAAGCCCTGGCTGGGATGATTTAACTGGGATTTGGTCCTGCTTCGAGCAGAGGGTTGGACTAGATGACCTTCTGGGGTCCCTTCCAACCCTTATATTCTATGATTCTATGATTCTATGAATATTGCTGTGATTTTTTTTGATGTAAAGGACCATCTATCACAAAGGGAAGTTTGCCTGGCAGGCAAGATAGACTGGAGTGCCCAAGGGGGATGTCTGTGACTCCATGTTAAAGCTGTTATAAGGCTTGAAGAGTTCACACTTGTTACTTGGTTAGTGAAATCTAATTATAGTACACACAACCAGTTGTTTGTGCCCTGTTCCTTGACAGTCTGCCCTGAGGAAAATAAGAAAAGCCAAAAAGAAGTTTGAAGAACAGCTAGCCAAAAACTCAAAAGGTAATAACAAAATGTTTTTTAAGTTCATCAGAAGCAGGAAGCCTGCTAAACAACTAGTGGGGCCCCTGGACGATAGAGATACAAAAGGAGCACTTAAAGACGATAAAGTCATCACAGAGAAACTAAATGAATTCTTTGCTTCAGTCTTCACGGCTGAGGATGTTAGGGAAATTCCCAAACCTGAGTCGTCTTTTGTAGGTGACAAATCTGAGGAATTGTCACAGATTGAAGTGTGACTAGAGGAGCTTTTGGAATTAATTGAGAAACTTAACAGTAACAAGTCACCAGGACCAGATGGCATTCACCCAAGAGTTCTGAAAGAACTCAAATGTGAAATTGTGGAACTATTAACTATGGTTTGTAACCTGTCCTTTAAATCAGCTACTGTACCCAATGACTGGAAGATAGCTAAGGTAACGCCAATATTTAAGATGGGCTCTAGAGGTGATCCTGGCAATTACAGACCGGTAAGTCTAATGTCAGTACCGGGCAAATTAGTTGAAACAATAGTAAACAATAGTAAAGAATAAGAGTACTTGTGGCACCTTAGAGACTAACAAATTTATTTGAGCATAAGCTTTCGTGAGCTACAGCTCACTTCATCGGATGCATTCAGTGGCAAATTGTCAGATACGTAGAAGAACATAAATTGTTGTGCAAAAGTCACCATGGTTTCTGACAAGGGAGATCATGTCTTACTAATCTATTAGAGTTCTTTGAGGGGGTCAACAAACATGTGGACAAGGGGGATCCAGTGGACATAGTGTACTTAGATTTCCGGAAAGCCTTTGACAAGGTCCCTCACCAAAGGCTCTTATGTAAATTAAGTTGTCATGGGATAAGAGGGAAGATCTTTTCATGGACTGAGAACTGGTTAAAAGACAGGGAACAAAGTGTAGGAATAAATGGTAAATTTTCAGAATGGAGAGGGGTAACTAGTGGTGTTCCCCAAGGGTCAGTCCTAGGACCAATCCTATTCAACTTATTCATAAATGAACTGGAGAAAGGTGTAAACAGTGAGGTTGCAAAGTTTGCAGATGATACTAAACTGCTGAAGATAGTCAAAATCAAAGCAGACTGTGAAGAACTTCAAAAAGATCTCACAAAACGAAGTGATTGGGCAACAAAATGGCAAATGAAATTTAATATGGTTAAATGTAAAATAATGCACTTTGGAAAAAATAACCCCAACTGTACACACAATATGATGAGGACTAATTTAGCTACAACTAATCAGGAGAAAGATCTTGGTGTCATCATGGATAGTTCTCTGAAGACGTCCACACAGTGTGCAGCGGCAGTCAAAAAAGCAAACTGGATGTTAGGAATCATTTAAAAAAGGGATAGAGAATAAGACAGAGAATATCTTACTGCCCTTATATAAATCCATGGTATGCCCACACCTTGAATACTGCATACACAAAAAAGATATAGTGGCATTAGAAAAGGTTCAGAAAAGGGCAACTAAAATGATTAGGGGTTTGGAACAGGACCCATATGAGGAGAGATTAAAGAGGCGAGGACTTTTCAGCTTGGAAAAGAGGAGACTAAGGGGGATATGATAGAGGTATATAAAATCATGAGTGGTGTGGAGAAAGTGAATAAGGAAAAGTTATTTACTTGTTCCCATAATATAAGAACTAGGGGTCACCAAATGAAATTAATGGGTAGCAGGTTTAAAACAAATAAAAGGACGTTCTTCTTCATAGAAGAATAGGGCATCTAGTCCAATGCCCTGCTCAAAGCAGGACCAATCCCCAATTTTTACCCTAGATCCCTAAATGGCCCCCTCAAGGATTGAACTCACAACCCTGGGTTTAGCAGGCTAATGCTCAAACCTCTGAACTATGCCTCCTCACTCAGCACATGGTCAACCTGTGGAAGTCCTTGCCTGAGGAGGTTGTGAAGGCTAGGACTATAACAGGGTTTAAAAGAGAACTGGATAAATTCATGGAGGTTAAGTCTATTAATGGCTATTAGCCAGGATGGGTAAGGAATGGTGTCCCTAGCCTCTGTTTGTCAGAGGGTGGAGTTGGATGGCTGGAGGGAGATCACTAGATCATTACCTGTTAGGTTTATTCCCTCTGGGGCACCTGGCATTGGCCACTGTCGGTAGACAGGATACTGGGCTGGATGGGCCTTTGGTCTGACCCAGTATGGCCATTCTTATGTTCTTATGAGATTGGCACTCACACTAGTGAGCTACTCTAGACAGCTTGACAACGTGGCTTAAGTTTTAAACAACATTTAACCCCTGGAATCCCCCCACCCAAAGTAAACAAAGAAATGATGGATTAAGAATGGGTCCAAGTAGTGTAACTAAATTCCAGACCAGCCTCAGAGCCCCAATCTGGGCCAATCAGCCAAGCATGAGGAGACTAATCCACACATACAGCAAGGAAGGCATCTATTTCTCATCACTCCCCCACACCAGTCTGAAGCAATGGGTCCATTTTAGCAATGTCTCTGCCCACCACGAGCGAGGGAAGAGTGGCTTAGTGAGTACAGCACTTGGATCAGAACATTCCTTTTGGGGGTGGCATCCCAGGAGGCAGGGATGCCCCATCTGCAGTACTTTGAGAAGGAATTAAAAGATATTCAATAGCTCTGGTGTC